TAATAGATGTCCCTTTTTTCCCCCAAATGAACATGTTAAAAAATTGGGTACTAAAATTATTTTTATTTCTTTGTGGACCCTTCTCTGGACATTCACATGTTTTAAGATTGGAGATGTTTCTAGTGGCTATTCTATAATTCAGCGTCCAAACATGGGTATGGTTTTAGAACAAATGATTCTGCTGCAACTTTGTTGTGGCCCCAAGAAATGGGAATGATACTGCTTTCCAAACACACCACACTAACATCGCCAAAGAGATCTTATTTTCATGAAGGTCTGTCTTGTCAAATACTAAAAGTAATCCCCCAGAGTGTACATGCATTGTATTTTGTTCTGTCTGTAAAATAGCATATTTACTTCATCTTCTTTTGTAAATGGAAACACCAATTCTTCCACAGACATCTAATACTTTAAAAGCAACTTAGGGAAAGATGGGCATTCAAAACATTATTTCCCCTGCTAATTTACTTTTGTTAAAACACACACACACACACACACACACACACACACACACACACACACACACAGAGGTTACTTCTCCAGCACCTTGCCTGTATGGTTCCCACCATTATGGTTATGGACATACCCTCTGAAACTGTCAACAAGCCCCCAATTAAATGATTTCTTCTACAAGTTGCCTTAGTCATGGTATCTCTTAATAGCTATAGAACCATAATTAACATAGCCAAATACTCAGATTCATGCAATGTTCGTGATCAAACCTAAGGTTTGTACATAGTAGCTGAGTGGTCTACCAACTTAGCTGAATCCCAAAGCCTATAATGAATTTCATTAAGCTAATTTAATGTTTTCAATCTGAAATCATGAAATCCACGCCACACTTTCATGCTTTATCCTGTATACCAGGAAGTATATATGCTTTATACCCAAGTCAGTGTTTAAAACTATTGTCACATTTTGATAATTGTAGATACTTATTTGGATTAATGACATTCTAGGACTCTGTTCAAGAAAGTCCCTTAGCTTTGGTCAGTCTGAGTTTTTATTATCTATTCTACATTTTTTCTAGTTCTGAGGTATTTGTCAAACTATTTGATACGATGAAGTCATGATTTCAACACCTATACAATAGGAGTAATAAGATATATTTCACAGTTATTGTGGAACTCTGGTAAAAATGAGTTTGTGGAATATCTACACAGCAAGAGAGCTGGGGATACTTTCTGAGTGAAAAGTGAAAAGAAGACACTTTTCTTGGCTACCTACATGTTGTTTATGGCCAGTACACTTACTTGAAGAATGGCTCTGAAAGCCAGGCTAAGGGTCACAGTCCTATGCACAGATACAGTGTTTTGATATGTACAATAGATTTGACCAGAACAGTGTATTTTGGAAGATGATGTCAGGAGGCCTCTTTGAGAATTCCTTGTGAGATAATGCTGTTTGTCTCAGATGTTAGCAGTAATAGAAATATGTCCTTGGATTTCCCTTTAAATAGTAGCCAAGGACTGGACTCCTTGTCAGTCAAGACTTGATTTTTGGATTGCTGGACTCCCTTGTTACTTTGGATTTAGGATAATGTTATGAATTAATATACATTCTGTTACGTTTATGCAATTATAACCATTGCTAAGGAAATGCTCAACATCATATCTGGCTCAGGAGTCTAGCTTGTGAATTAATGTATAATTCTAGGTATCTTAGAAAACATTTTACGAGAATTTGAATCTTTAAATAATGGACGTTTCTCTTGGAAGGGGTGGCTCACACCTTTGATACCAGTACTTGGGAGACAGAGGGAGGCAGATCTCTGAGATTTAGGCCAGCCTGGTCTACAGAGTGAGTTTTTGGACAGCCAGGGATACAGAGAAACCCAGTCTTCAAAAAAAAAGGGGGATATTTCATACATATGAATAGTAAACGTTACTATGATCTCAATTTCCTTTCTGAGTAAAATTCATAACCTTTCAAATGTATGTACATACATATACTTATATATATACATATATATATATATATATATATATACATTTATGGCAAATGATGTCAGACTTGCATAAAATGCATGACTAGGCTGAGACTAAGACGTGGGAAATGTCGACTTATGAAAGGGGGAGTTTGAAATTAACAGTCTCAAAATACTAATTCATGTTTTTTTTAATGAAAAAGTTATGGAATCAGATGTCTTACAAAAGAATGTCATAGAAGTAACACAAATGTGGTTTACTTATGAGGGGGAATTCATTTATAGGTTCATAGCTAGAGCTCAATGACCAGAGAATGTGTTATCCATTTCAAAATTTGAATTGAAGTTAGAGAAATTAGTGGCATTGCTAACAGTGAGCCCAGAGAGAAGGACATGGTCTAGGACATACTGAGGAATGTGTGCTTAATTATAAGTGCTTAATTGTCATTTGTGGGCTCTTATTTTCCATTCAAGTTTTTCAAAACCTCTACATTGGGGTTTTAAAATAAAAGCATTAACAGTACTTTATCTCCCCCTGAATATGCAAAGTTAAATTATAGTTTTTGTCTGAAATTGAGACATATTTAGGAATACATTAACATGTAACAAAGTTCTAATTATTAAATTCAGTTGGGCAAAGTACATCACATTCCTTTTCTTAAATGAACTCAAATGAATTGATAATTCAGTATGTCCTTACAATGGAAAGCTAAGGCAACAAATGACTTTGTACACTCATATACATATATGTGACACCTTCAATCAATCAATCACAGTTAAAAATTTATGAAGTTTATAGAATGCTGAAGACATGGGAAGAAGATAGAAATGAGGTGCTGGTTCAATGGTCTTTCACACTTATCACAGTTTCTCTTCTCAACTGTGTTCTGCTTGATTGTATTATTATTATTATTAATAATATTATTATTATGTGTATTCCTCTGAATAAACCAAATCTACATCATCATGTTCATTTTCTCTCAACAAGAGGGCCCTACCAGTTGTATGCTTTTTGGTTTTATTCATGGGTAGAATTCTTATTTGTATTTAACAAATAGAAACATTTGTTTACTGATCTAGGTTGACAATATGAAACATGGCAGGACAAACAAACATCTCAAACCCTTGACGTTTCTAATGAGGTCAGTAAGCTTGTGAAACAGTGACAAGGGCCTGGTTAGCAAGACTCCAGGTCAAAAAGCTGGAATCTAAGGAAAACAACTCTGCTGAGAAGATGTATTTTCCCCTGGCTCAAAGAAATCTTAAGGCATCCACAGATGCTACAGCATCCTTATTTGTTGTTATCAGAGGGGTGAATTAAAAAGCAACAATATTACTTCCTAGTAACATAGCCCTTTATCTGGATGCCTACAGGGACTGCTGGCTGCTCACTACACCCTTCCATTCAAATAGTTTTCAAATAGATACTTAAAAGAACATCTACTTCTATAAATTTCATAGAAACAATAACTAAAGAAATACTATACTACTATGAGAACACACAGGAAAAATGTTAGGTCTAAAAAGTTGTGTTAAACTTTAAGAAAGAAAACTAAAACATTACATGCAATTATGTATATTGTTCTCAGGGCTAGGGTTACAATTGATCTTAAAACATTCAAAAGTGTTTGACTGTGTTGAAAATAACAATTCAGACATTCAATCAGGCTCCTATGGATACGAAAACATCAGGGATGGAAAAGATGAATGCAACCTGGAAGTCTTTTATACACAAGTCAAGTCAGTGCAAGATAAAAACCTTTAAAATTCAGCAAAATTAAGCAGATCTTATGTTTCTATTTCTTAGGAAGAAAAACATCAAAACATCCATATGTTGTGAACTTTCAGGGCCAACTGTTTCTCTTTAAAATAATGAAAATATCTGGAGCGTTCTATATTTGCACTGAAGTATAGAATGCTGATTCTCCTGAGATTGTTTTCTCATGTGTAAAATCTAACCCTTATGTAGCTGTGAAGAAGACATGTAGCAGTGCTGGTGGAACTTCAAACTCTGGAGACAGAAGATTCAGATTCTTTCTACTTCTCTATTAGTTATATGAACCCTGACGGTAAGTAAGCTTGTAAAAACTTCAATATTTTTATCTGTAAGTTACAGTTAATGGCATCTATCCTATGCACTATGCTGTAGTGTAGAGATGAAATAACTGGAAATTAAACTAGTGCTAACTGATACCTAGCCCGTCTTAGTTATTCTTAGAAGAAGCAGCCACAGAAAATAATTCTCTATGATTTCTTGAGATAGTTACTCGTGTACCTTGGGAAAACGTTCTGACTGTATCCATCTAACCTAACCTAAATTGTACTTAAAGTGCCCATCAAAACCTTCTGTGTAGAAGATACAATATAACACTTTCAGGATGCTACTTAGGGCAGGATCACAGGTACCTTAAGACTTTTACTTCATCTCTACAATTTCAGTATCTTTTCTCAGGTCCATTCTTTGAAGTTATGTTATACTCCACACAAATGTAAGTGCTATCTGTCATTCATGCACTATTAACTCAGAACAGCCTACATGCTGTAAATGCACATTGCATCTACCTCATTATGGTTTGTAATATGTTTACATATACTTTTTCCATTGAGCTGAAAAGGAAGAGATGTGGGTACACGCTTATATTTCAAAGGTCCTCTGGGCATTCCATGTTTACCATGTTAAAATAAACATCACTTCTCTTATACATTTTTCTTATTTCTAATTAAAAAAAGATAAAACTCACTCACAAACTCACACATACTAAAAAGAAAAGTAGCTTTTTTATGTTTCTGGAACACAGTCACTGTACAATGTAGATGTCAGTGACAATCCTCCTTGAAGGAACTTAATGCATCCCTATGGATAGCTCTCAGGGCATGCACAGATCTTATTACTTCTTGCTGTCTCCTACTAAGTGGTTTTCTGCGAATGTCTGTGGACATCTGGGAACATGAGTGTGTGAATCTGTGAAGATCTATGGAACTCTATAATGTCAATGTGGATTTCTGTCAGGATTGAAAGTTATGTGTGATTTCTGCATTGGGGAACACTGTGAATGTGTCTACTTGGATCTCTGGGAAGGATTTTGGGGGTTTCTTTCCATGGAGTTCTGCAAAGGACTCTGTAGCAATCACCTTCTGTGGAGTAATCTGTTTAAGTCTCTGTAGAGATGTTTGCAGCTCTTATGTTTTGATCCATGAATGACTCTGGAATTCTGAGATGGTTTTCACTGGGACTTACTTTGTGGAGATTTTTGGTATCAGTGAGAATTACTGTAGAGGAGTCTGTGAGGTTCTCCAGGTCCATGGAATATCCACTATACTTGGCAGATATCCCCATTCCTCTTGCTGCCTGATCTGTTGATGCCACTTTCTCTAGCACTTGTCCACTAAGGAAGCAAGGACCCATTCCCAAGTCTTACTGAAGCCAAATGTGCCCATTGGGTTCATGATAGCACCCAGACATGGCATCCTTATGTTGCTGGCTTTACTCTGGTTTCTGAGACAACTAAGGAGTGTGTGGTCATTGATAAAGTGCCCACTCATGAGAGAAATGAGGGTTCCATATCCACTCCTAAAGAGATGCTGAGTTTCATATGTGGACTCTCACGAAGTGTGCTAGAACAGGCCCCAACTCCATATCCTTTACTTTGGTGGTACCTTATGGAAGAAAGTTTTCAGCCAGGGAATAAGTGACACTGTTAGAGCTGTATACTGTCAGGATTTGGTGAGCAGTAGTGCAGGGACCGTGAATTGGCGGCTCTTGTGTGCAGTTATCCCTGCTTGTTTCTTAAGAGAAGAGAGAGTAGGGCAAGCAAACTAGGGAGGAAGCTGAGTGAGTCCCAGGAAGGGACCCTTTTTGCCCTGCCCAGAGACCCAAAGAACACACTTATCCAAAGTCCCTTTCTTTGTGTGAGGCAGCCCTGTGAGATGGTGTGAGACAGTCCTGTGAGAAGGCCTGTGCTGCTCTCATGGGAAAGCAAGGGATGAAAGCCTAGAATGATGTGAGCATGCCCACAGTGCATCCCTTCAACCATTTTCAGGTGTCCTTTGCTGTGGCACTAAGATTGACATGAGTCTTAAAAGACCACCAGGCTGTAAGTGACATTCAGAATCCATAAATTCTGAAATTTCCAGCAGTTTACCTCTAGAATGGAGAAAGTAAGAGCATGCAGATTACTAGACCTGCTGTGAGGAAGCTGATCTTCATTCCTTGGATTTGTTTCAACTCCTTTAAAGCTAAAAGGCTCCTCCAGTCCAAGCTCAAGGGCCTGGGGTTAAGTCAAGGTGAATGACACAGACACTGATGTCCACAATCTAAACAGGGAGGGCAGGGGCTTCACATGAGTGGAAAGGTTTAGGGCATCCTCATGTTAAGCAGCCTCATGCTTGGCTCTAACCTTTTTGTTTCTACCTCCCTCCTTGGGCTAATCATGCAGAGGGGCGCTGCATATTGAGTGGACCAGAAGGAAGTACAAATGACCAGGCATCATGAGACCCTCAGCACGCATTCTCGCTGCCACACTCATGAAAGTTGTCAGTTCAATGCTGGCCACCATTCTGGCATTGAACGCTGACACATGACAGGGTGACACTGCTTTGTCATCCAGGCTGAGCTGGGAGGCCTGGAGAACTCATTTGGGTGGCAGCCACATTGAGTTGGTAGGGGCTCCTGAAAGTCCCCAGGTCCTTTCTTTCTTGGGAGGATATCCAGGGGTTATGGTTTTCCTACTTTGAAAAATGTAATCCCTGTACCTACTTGGTGACATTGGGCTGCTTCTTGTGAGTCTCTGTACACAGCTACATAATTTCATGTTAGAGCAAATCAGGAGAAAGAAATGGTAAAAGCTGGCCCTAAGGGTGTTATCTGACAGTGTTAATTTAGCACTCCCCAATCCTCAAGGCTTGTATGGGTCTTATCGTTTTGATTTATTATGTCCACATCACTCCTAAGTACTTCTTGTTTGTGTCTTGTAGGGTTGACAACCCCTAACCCCCCAAAACCTTTACTTCTGCTTCCATAATTACAGTATAATTAACAGTTGCTACAATGATGGAACCAGGAGATGGTGAGACATCAACTGCCACCGTCTCCTCTTAGAGGAGCCTATCCCCTCCAGAAACAGTACTGAGGTAGACCAGATGTAGCCATTTCCCTGTGGCCTAGAACTGTAGACACAACCTCCAGATAAAACACACAGAAAGTAATGAATGACTGAAAGTTTAATTACTTCACATTTAGAAAAGTACTTCTTTTCAATAATGTCCACTTCTACAGCGGGAGTGCCTAGGACAGTGAATAGGGGTCCCAGGGATACGTGGTGTCTGTTTTATTCCATGATAGATGGCGGCTTGCGACAAAGGTTGTCTCAACATCTGAACCCCGTTGCAAACTTAGGGCATCCATTTGTCTGCGGATGCTTGTCTGTGCACCTTGGGGATAACTTGTTGAACACAGCTAGTTTTTCCTTGTGTTATGTTTGATTGGAGAGTAGGAATTCTATGATGGCAGAAATGCCTACACACTGAAGCTATATTGGACCAGGTAGGGCCTGAGACTGGCCTGTTGGAGTGGTCAATGGATGGGGTAATTGAGATAGGCTTATTTGAGTAGTTAAGCTTGATGTTGTTGAGGTAGTCTTGCATGAGTGGTTAAGGCCTAGACTACTTAAGATAGGCCTGCTTGAGTGGTAAAGGATGCCAGATATTGAAGGTAGGCCTACTTGAATTTTCAAGGCCCGGAGTTGTAGAAGTAGTTCTGCTTGTGTTCTTAAGGCCTGGATTGTTAGAGGTAGGCCTGTTTGAGCCCTCATGACCTGCAGCTTTTAAGGCCTCCAGGGGTGTAGGTAGGTCTGCATGTGTTGTTAATGTCTAATGTGTTTGAGGAAGGCGTGTTTGTGTGGTCTATGCCTAGAGTTCTTTCAGTAGGCATCGTTGAGGTATTAAGGCCTGGAGTGATACAGGTGGGCCTATTTGAGTACTCATGACCTGGCATGCTTGAGGTAGGCTTGCCTGAGTTTTCTGGACCGGTAGAGGTGTAGGTAGGTCTGCATGTGTTATTAAGTTCTACTGTGGTTGAACAAGGCCTGTTTGTGTTGAGGCCTTGAATTGTGGAGGTAGGCCTGCATGAGTTGTTAAGGCCTGGGATGATCAAGGCAGAAATGTTTTTGTGGTTAATTTTTGGTGGGATAAAGTTAGACTGTTCTGCATGGTTAATGCGTGATGTGTTTGGCATGGGAGATGGCAATCCTGGCAGAGGTATGCTCTGTGGGGTCCCCAGTCCTTTTCAGTCACACTGAAGAGCCACTGTCTGTCTATATGGCATGGATGGAGCATATGCCACAGGATCAGGAGGATGAGATAGGTGGGAAGGTACCAGTGGTGGTGAACAGCATCTCCCTAGAGTCAAGGACTCTGGTGGTTGAGAGGCACTCCCAGGCATCTGTGACTCAATAGAAGCTGGGGGATTCAGAAGGACAGTTGACAAGATTTTAGAATCTTTGGACAGCAGTTGTTCCTTGAGAGGAACAGAGTACTCTGCTATGGATAAATCTGTGACCACAGATTCATCTATGGGCTGCCGAGGTGGCTGGTCAGATCTGGCAACTTCAGGGTTGGACACTTCAACTGAGGAATCTTGTCTTAAAAGCTGGCAAAAGCTGATAGTATTGACAAGCCTCCTTATGGTGCTGTAGGAGACAGGAAATGTAAATGCATCCAGGAGCATATGGGTCTGGAGTTTGGGCAAGCTAAGAGGGGAAGAACCCTGAAAGCCTATCAGTTTTCTGTTCCAACTCTGCTTTGTATAAGACTCTGTTGACTTAACCTCCAGGAATGTACCCATATCCCACCCATGCAGAGGTCCCTATTCCCTTGATAACCTTATGTCCTGGTTGGGGGTGATCACATAACTGGCAAGTAGTAAGTGGCCCCAAGTAATGGAGATGGCTCACCTGTGCAGAAGTGAAACCATTGCCTTGTCTTCCTTTGGTTTCTTCTGCTGCCTCTGTAAGCTGGAAATGGACACTGGGTTATGGTGGACTAAGGAGCGACCTGGTTTCTTACCAGACAC